AAGAAAATGACTGACAGTGGTGGGAAACTATGGGGGTGGGAGGGGAAGGGAGATGGGATTAACGGTAGTAAATATCTGTCTAGGGACGGGGAGACACCTCTTATCAACATGGGTGCCTGAATGGAGCATATTTGTATACCTAACCCTTAACTGTACCCCACAATATCATTTTAAAAATTGATTAAAAAAATAAAATAATAATAATAAAAAATAAAATTAAAATAAAAAAAAGAAAACATAGTTCATTTAAAAAAGTAAATTAGAAAGAGAGAAAGAGGAGATTCATCTCCCAAGGTAGGGGAGGGAGCCAAAGCTTAAGAAAACATGGCCTCCCGTGTCATTTTTGCCACAAAAGATATAGTTCGCTTTTCAGTAGATCAACCAAGCAAAGTGCTCTGCCTGGCGATGAGCACATAGTGATGAGACTGCAGACACGCATTGAGTGCTGGCCTTCTCCTGCCTGCTTCCAAAAGGGTGCCAAGGGAAAGCAGCACACCTTATGATGAAACTCAGATTCACCCCACAGCACTCAGGCAGCATTATGTATTTTCATTCTACACCATGATACGGGGCAGGGCAGGTTTTGGAATAAGCAAGGTTCTTTAATTGCCTAGTGCCTCAGTTTCCTTGTTTGTAAAAAAGAATAACAACAGCACTGGGCTAGTGCGAGGAGTTGATGAGTGAACTGATGTAAAATCTTAGAACAGCACCCAGCATGTGGCAATGATCAATGATAATCAGTAACTACATCTTTCACTCTTATTACCCCTCACCTCCCACCTTTGCTTTAGGGATCTGTGGTCCCATTTTCCTTTCTGTCTTGCTGACCAATTAACCTGGTGTCCATTAGGGAAGGCACAGTTCTGGAGGAGCTGGAGTCCTAACGCATAGGAAGTGGCCAGGGCTGCCCTCAGGAGTATATTACCTCCTGATACCTCACTAAGCCTATAAAGCAGAGGGAAGGGATGGAGCTTCTCAGTGCCTGGCACAGAGTGGGAATCTATTTAAGCAAGAACTGTTATGGCAGGGCTGGGTGTTCTGGGAGTCCAGAAAAGGGCATAATTGAAAGCAGGGGGCACAGGAGGGGTGACAGGTATGGCCCACTGTTGGGAGGGTCTCAAGCAGTTCTAGGGGGCTGAGGCACATCAGGGAAAGGTTGAGGCATGAAAGGCTACAGGCTGCAGACCTGTCACCTCCCCACACCAGCCAGCACTTTGCCCTCACGGAATACTGGCCAGTGTTTGCTACACCAGGCAGCGGCAAGAGACATTCACTGCCCTGGAGTGTCAGGTCACAGAGTCTCACTGTTCTCAACATGGGCAAGGCTGAATTTGGGCTCAACTCACAGGAATCCCCAGTGAGATGAAGACAATAAACCCTGGTCCACCGGGCCTGAGGCCTCCCTCACGAAGACACTGCAGATCCCAACTGCCTGAAAGCTGAGCCAGAGGCTCTTCTGGGTCTGAGAGTGCACTGAGGGGCCTGGACGAGGACTGGGACCATCCTTTCCTCACAGACACAAGGTCTTCTCTGGCGAAGGCAACCCTGACCCCAGAATCACAGCAACTGAAAGTTGTTTAAAGCAGTCACATTGTTTGTGGCACCCTCCAAAGTACTCCGTGATTAAGCAAAGTCTTGCAAACTGCATTTCATATCTCCTTCATGTTAAAATAAGATAATATTCACAAACATTATGATTCATGTATTTGATGGAAAAATGTAAAAGACATTGGTAAAATATTACGTAATAAGCTGTAAAAACAATTATATTAAAAAAAGAAAACAAATTAGATCTATACAATCATTTCAACTAAATTGCTGGCCAGGACAGAACAATTGAAAACTGGTGGGTATTAGAATAGTGGAACTGTGAGTAAATTTTCAGACATTTCCTTTACATTGTTATACTTTTTGTTTGTGCCTTATATTTAAGACCGAGTAAAAAAGCAAAAGAAATGCAGTAGGGCTGGCAACACCAGCTTCAGAATCACCAGCTCCAGGGAGATGGCTGGAAGCCATGGAGTGAAAAAGACGACTGAGGACGAGCGTGGGGTGTCAAGGGGAGGCAGCCTAAATCCAGGGGCCAGAATCAGGGAAAAGAGACATGAAAGGAGCCGCAGGGGGACCGGAAACATCAGCAGTGAAGGAAGGTGTGGCAAAAGTATCGACAACTACTGAGAAGCAGGGGAGGCCGGGACCTTCTCGCAGGAAGGAAATGGGACCTCAGGAAAAACAGTTTTGGGAATGTAAGTGACAATAGGATTCATGACAGGAGGCGAGCACTGTCCATGATCACTTGTATCCTACGTTCTCCATGAAAGAAATGTACCCAGTGCATAGCCCTTTTGCACACCTACAAGGTATTGTCACTGGCTCTCATCTACTCACCTGACTGTCCGGGAGGGGGGATTCCACCCAGGCCTCGAGGGAGCCTCACAAACACAGAGAGGACAGCGGCTTTGTTGCCAAAACATGGCTCCAGTGCAATGGGCTTGGGAACAGTCTGGTGGAAGGCAACAAAGAATTACCCCAAGTGGTGATTCTTAAACTTTAGGTACACAGACAATGTAATGGCCATGGATGCTTACAGGGACTATCAGTTTTAGGTTACAGAAAAAGGCACATCACAGTTAAGATAACCAGAAGGACAAGTTAAAGTAAATAGTAATCACTGAGCACCAGTGAGAGGACTGGTGCTGCCTGCTCCCGTTCAATGGTGGTTTTCATATCCCCTTCCCAGAGATGCAGAAACCACAGAAAAGGGGCCACATCAAGAGGGTTTCTTCTGGGTTCTATACTTTTACTCAAATTGAAATGCCAATCTACAGGAATGGCAGTGAGCGTTGGGTAGATTTGTCAGTTCTGCATATCTCACTCAAGTACAGATGGAGATACTATGGAGACTTTAAGAAAAAAATTCTGACTTATTTCATCTGTCCTTCAGACACTAAGAAGACAAGTCCATTAGATGTAAAAGCTTAGCCGGGCTCGGTGGCTCAGCCTGTAATCCCGCGCCTTTGGGAGGCTGAGGTGAGTGGATTGCCTGAGCCTGCGGATTCGAGACCTGCCTGGGCAGCGAGACCTCATCTCTACAGTAAATCAAAAAATCAGCCGGGCGTGGTAGCGCATGCCTGTAATTCCGGCTACTCGGAAGGCTGAGGTGGAAGGATCACTGGAGCCTGGCAGGTCGAGGCTGCGGTGGCCGGGAGCGGCCACTGCACTCCAGTCTGGGCGACAGAGTGAGACTCCAACTCAAAAAAAAAAAAAAAGATGTAAAAGCTTGTAAAAGCTGGATGCCTGACCAAACAGATTCCGGAAAATGTCATTTTTTTTTTTGCAGTCTTTATCTTGTAAAGATACCCCATATGTTAGTGTCTATTGCTGTATAACAAACGATGGCAAACTCAGTTGCTTAAAGCAATACCCACTTATTGTATCAGAGTTTTATAGGTCAGAAATCCAGACAAGTTCTGGAGGGTTCTCTGCTGAGAGAGAAGGTCTTTTCATGTCTTTCAACAGGTCTAAAAAATAATCCGCTGTCATCTCACGAGGGCCTAATGAGGCTGAAGTCCAGGTGTCAGCTGGGCTGGACTCTGGGGAAGACTCTGTCTCAAAACTCACTAAGGTGGTTGGCAGAATCCAGTTCCCAGTGGCTGTAGGTCTGAGGTCTCCACTTCCTTGCTGTCAGGGGCAGCTCTCTTCTCTCAGAGACCACCTGCTTCATTCTCATGTAGTCCCCTCCACTCCAAACCAGTGATGCATGTATGTTGAGTCTTGTTCATGCTTCCAACCTCTCTGGCTTCCTCTTCTGCCACCAGCCAGAGAAACTCTAAATTTTAAAGTCAACTCCCTTGGGACTTGTATTACATTTGCGAAATCCCTTCACAGCAGTACACCCAGTGGTATTTGACTGAATAACCATGGGACGAAATATTGGGAAATATTTTTCATTTTATGTTTTGAGTTGGGGTCTTACTCTGTTGCCCAGGCTGGAGTGCAGTGCCACGATCACAACCTACCACAGCCTTGACCATCTGGGCTCAGGTGATCTTTCTATTTCAGCCTCCTGAGTAGCTGGGTTGGATTGCTTCCACTTTTTGGCTGTTGTGAATAATGCTGTCAAGAACATGGTGTACAAGTCTCTGAGACTCTGATTTCATTTCTTTTGGGTATAAACCCAGAAGTGGAATTGCTAGATCATATATAATCCTATTTTTACTTTTTCTGGAGAATAGCGATACTAGTTTTCCACAGCAGCTGTATCATTTCACACTTCTAACAACAGTATACAAGGGTTCCAATTTCTCCACATTGTAGGTGATCTTTTTTCTTTGGTTGATTTTAAGATGGTCTCTTTGTCTCTGGAGTTATGTAATTTCATTATGATAAATCCAGCTAGTTTTCTTTCCTTCCTGCCTTTCCTTTCTTTCTTTAACCCTGCTTATAATATGTTTTGCTTTGGATATCTGTAGATTCATGTTTTCCATCAGTTCTGGAAAGTTCTCAGGTATTATCTCCCAATATTACCTCTCCTCCATTGGTTTGGGGATTCTGGGCATACGCAAGTTGGCTCTCCTCATTCTATCCTCTATATTTCTAATATCTATTATATTTTCCATCTCTTTGGCTCTGTGAGCTGCATTCTGTAAAATTTTTTCAGATTCATCTTCCACTTCATAAATTTTCTCCTACGTTTGATATGTTGCTTAACATGTAAACGGAGTTATTTATTTATTTAAAAAAATTCAACTACTGTGTTTTTCATTTCTAGAAGTTCCATTGGTTCTTCTTCAGATCTGCATGGCCATTCTTGACTCTCATGACTTCCTTATCTTTATGATTCCATCTTTTATTTTTTTAAACATTTCATATGTAGCTATATTATATTCTTTAGATGTCAGTTCTAACATCTGAAGTCCTATTTAAACCGATCATCTGTTGTTTTTGCTGACTTATTTATGGTGGCTTGTCTCTTTCTGTCCTTGGTGATCTCTAATTGCTTGATCTTGATCTGTGGGAATCCTACAGGGCTGAAGCGGGGATGTTTTCTTACAGAGAGGATCTGCATCTATCTCAGGTGGCAGTTGTGGTGTGTTCCCAATATGGAACCATTTAAGACAATTCATGGTTCTGGTTTTGGTTTATAGTTTGTTCTTTTGGAGGGGGGGAAGGAGGGAGAGTAGTCCCTGAAGATTTTGTCTACTTCCTGTGAGCTCAGTAACATTCATTTTAAATAAGTATGTTTTATTCAGGATATATAGCTATTTCCCCAGATTATCTGAAATATTTCATCATTTTACCAAAAGCGAAAGTCTTACCACTTTATCATTTTTTCTTAGAGGGGGGAGAGTCAGAATTATTTATTTTCTACGGAATGCATGGTGAATATCATTTTGCCACTTTAAAAAAATCCCACAAATATAATGATAAAAAACAGTAATTCAATTTAGTTATTTTCAAATACAAGGCTTTTTTTTTTTTTTTGAGACAAGGTCTCATGCTCTGTGCGTTGGCACAGTCAAAGCACACTGAAGCCTTTTAAGCTTCTGGGCTCAAGTGATCCTCTCACCTCAACCTCCCAAATAGCTGGAACTACTATGCCTGCCTAATTAAAAAAAAAAAATTTGTAATATGGGGTCTTATCCAGGTTAGTCCTGGCCTGAAGTGATCCTTCTGCCTCAGCCTTCCGAAGTGCTGGAATTACGGTGTAAGGCACCATGCCCAGCCTTATATAAAAGTATTATGGCACAGAGTACTTGAATATCATTACTTATATTTTACAGTTCGCTGAACACAATACTGCTCAATGACATGAAACAAACACTGAAAATGAAAACAAAAGAATAACTGACGCCAGTTTTTTAGCTTACCGTTAAAAGAAAGAAAAAATAAAAGGCAATGGAATAAGGTTTCTGCTCTCTGGTTTCCTAGACTTAGAAGCCTAAGTTTTAAAAAGTTAAGTTACAGAAACTTTTGAGTCACATTCTCACCTTTATATTCCCCCCAATAAGATCAGGAGGTTCTTCATCTGTTTCCAAGGCGACGTTTACAGAGGCAAAGGGACGGCTAGCCATCTGTTGCATCTCTCGAAGAAGTTGCTAGTAAGTAATACAGCAAGCCATTAACACAATGAGTACTGAGGGGATTTAATTAGTGAATACATACTAAAAATACCTCATCCTGCCTGATTCAAGCAAATCAAGTCCAAAATGATACTTTTTGGACTAGGTGTTAGATAACATTATGGGTTGCTAAATTTTGTTGGATGTGATAACACTACTGTAATTATATATTTTACAAGGCCCTATCTGTTAGAAATATATATATATATATATTTTCTGAGTTGGAGTCTCACTCTGTCACCGAGACTGGAGTGCAGTGGCTGCTCCCGGTCACTGAAGTCTCGACCTGCTGGGCTCGGGCGATCCTTCCGCCTCAGCCTTCCAAGTAGCTGGAACTACAGGCACGTGCTAATGAGCCCGGCTAATTTTTGATTTATTGTAGAGATGAGGTCTCGCCAAGTTGCCCAGGTGGGTCTCGAACCCGTGGTCTCAGGCAATCCACTCACCTCGGCCTCCCAAAGCACTGGGATTACAGGCTGGGCCACCAAGCCCGGCCTAGAGATATATATTAAAGTACTGTGGATGCAATACTATGATGCTGCTTGTTAAACACATAAAATTATGTGCCCCAATCCCTTACATTTCTATCACTAGATTAAAGGCAGGCATATTTTATTCCTTCTGAGACTTGGACCAAATATTCACAGAGCAACAAAAACCTGTGCCTCATTACATAGCAGACAGGAACTGAGAGAACTCTTTATTCAGAGAGATGGGGTAAGTTACAAACATAAGCAAATGTGAACTCCTGCAAAGTAGAGGAATAGGCAGGGTTCTGACTTTAGGGAGGCTTGGCTATGAATCTCTGCTCTAACACTCTCCAGATGTGTGACCTTAAAAAAGGTGTCTTATCTGTGGGCTTTAGCTTATCCTCTCTGAAATGTGGTTTCTTCTCATAAGATTGTTATTGGGATCAGATAAGATACTGCAGTGCAGTGCCTCACACATGGTAAATGGTTATTGAGACACAGTATAGTAGAGATTTGCCTGCATTAATTTTTATTAGGGATATTAGTGACTTTCTGGGCATGTTGAAGCTCTGAGATTATGACCTTGACGACAAATAGTTTTACTTCAAATTGCCTCCTTGCAGGAGATGGAATCTTGGGCTGGATAGATCATGGCTCTATTCTAGAAGGGGATTTGTATGTTAAACATTTCCTTAAAATACCAATAATAATATTCCTACATTTCCTAAAACTGTTGGTGCAGTTATACAACAAATATCTGCAGCAACCCTACTCAGGGTTCTGTGTTATTCTAAGTGTGAGGGTCATAGTAAGACAGGATTCCTAGCCTCCTCCAGCTCCCACTCTAGTGCCTTTCTGAAGAGTGCAGGAGAACACATGTAAAAGCACGATCAGGCACAGCAAGGACTAAACAGTGTCTGCTGCTGCTATTACTGTTTTTATAAATAACATCAAATCATTTTTTCTACAATTCTGAGAGGGAATAAATAATGACTGACATTTTAGAAATCATGAAATATATTCTGAATCGTCAGGTTCACAGTTACAGAGAAATTTCAAATCACAAAGGTAATACTTAGTTTATTAGCTGATACTAAGCATAGTTTTTTAAAAACATTTTTAATTTTTATTCTGTGGTCTTCAGGAAGCAGAGTTTAAAACCTTTTTTTTTTTTTTGAGTTGGCTGGAGTGCAGTGGCACACTAATGGCCACCCCAGCTTTGACGTGCTGGGCTTTGGCAATCCTTCTGCCTCAGTCTTCCAAGTAGCTGGAACTACAGATGTGCATTACTACACCTGGCTAATTTTTATTTATCGTAGAGATGAGGTTTTCCCAAATTGCCTGGGTTGGTCTCAAACCCTCAGTGAGTAGACTCAGGTAATTCATCTGCCTCAGCCTCCCAAAGTGCTGGGATTACAGGCTGAGCCACCAAGCCTGGCCTCAAATCTTTTTTCTCCAGGGTGTTTATCTTCTTATCTTCTCTCTCATGTATGTTGCTACCGATTTCCAGTTGACTGTCTTCTGTGTTATTTATTTTTTTATACAAAGCATTAATTTTTATGCAGGCAAATCTCTACTATACTGCATCTCAATAACCTTATATGAAAATAATAATTTTGTTTCCTTTCCAATAATAACTGAACTTCTTACTGCTCTTTCACCTGGTGTACGGTTTAGAACATCCAGAACAAAGTTAAGTGATCTTGGGGGCTACATGATTAGGAACTTCAGTTATAAAGACAGAAGTCCCTAGTTTAAAGTCTAGCTCTGCTTCTTAGTAACTATATGATGGTAAGTTATTTCACCTTTCTAAGCCTCAATTCCCTCATCTATAAAACATGACTAATGACAGTACCTATCTTACAGTGTTGTTATAAGGATTAAATTAGCTAACATATGTAATTCTAGGCACTCAGAACAGTGTCTAGAATTTAGAAATGCTCAAATGTCAGTTATTATTACAACTAACTTGCTGGATTTTATTGGTACAACATCTAGTATTTTCTCATCATGACTGATGCTGGTTATCTAATATTCTTTTTTTTATTTGTTTTGAGTTGGAGTCTCACTCTGTCACCCAGACTGGAATGCAGTGGCACACTCATGGTCACCCCAACATTGACCTGCTGGGCTCCAGTGATCCTTCCGCCTCAGCCTTCCAAATAGCCAAACTACAGGCATGCACTACCACACCCAGCTAATTTTTTAATTTGTTGTAGAGATGAGGTCTCATCAAGTTGCCCAGGCTGGTCTCGAACCTGTGGACTCAGGCAATCCACTCACCTCGGCCTCTCAAAGTGCTGGGATTATAGGCTGAGCCACCAAGCCCGGCCTCTAATACTCTTTATAATGTTAAAAAGGTATTCCTGAGTTAACTATGAGTTTTGTTTTATATTAATTGGTATGAGTGTTAAATTTCAATACTTGAATAAATGATTACTTGGCCTCTAGTAAGAATTTAGGTGTTTTTATACCTAAATTGGTATGATATATTCTAGTACGATTTCTGGTAATAAATGATCCTTTTATTACATTACAATTAGACTGGTACACATATATTCACTATGCAACTGGTCTTTATATGTTGGTGCCAATTTTGTCAGGTTTTGGTATCAAGATTTCTATGCATAAAATGAATCTTTTAAGCTTTCCATCTTTTTCTTTGCTTTGGAGCAGTTTATAGATTTTAGAAATAATTATAAGCACTCAGGCTATCTTCATAAGTTCTTCTCAACCCTGACACTCTCAGGGTCTTCTAATGCCCTTCTTGGAGAGGGTAATACTTTGACAAAGTTTTTAATTCCTTTCCTCATTACTGGTTTACTGTGGTTTTCTACTTTTTCTTGATCCATTTTGATAACTTGTATTTTTTTTCAGAACATTCCACAATTTCACTGGAATTTTTAAATGTATCAGTGACAGAACTACTTAAAACCCTTTAAATATGTTATCCCCTCAATTTTAAAAATAATAATAAAGAGAATGCAATATTCCCTCTATGATAACATCACCCTTACATGGGTCAAAAACAGTGGTGTTGTGGCCCACAGGAGGAAGCCCATATCCTAGAGCTTATCTTAACCCTATTCAGACATAAATATTCTATGAACAGTGCTGAGTGCTTATGAGTTGTGATTTTAGAACTTCATTTCCAAATCTCATCTAAAGGTAAAATTTCTATATAGAACAAGTCACGGCTAATAGATACAGAAAACCAAGGAGAGCATCTAAGTCTAGATCTTATATATGTAAGCATTTCCATTAGCAACAGACACACTGACTAAAAGAAAGGCAAAGTAACAATGCAAGTGAAAGTTGCAAAAGACGACCTATTTACGTTGTAATTATTAACTAAGTTTTTATTTGAATTTGTCAACTGTAAACATTTGCTTGACTTATTACTTTTGGAATGTAGCTCTGGAAACAAATCATGACTTGTTAAAAAATAAAATACAAGTTAAAAATGTAATTAGACACTCATTTATCTTTCCTTGAATAATGAGACATTTTCGAGATGCTTAAATAACTGACTTCACTCTCACTCTTATAAAAAGCTCTTGTGAAGGCCGTGCCAAGACATGTGGTGGCTGGGGCCAAGCTAACAAGCCCTCGGATCTCTGGTGAGCACTGAACTTGGGGTCTGATTGGAAGGATACAACGGGCATATCTAAGTCAACACTAGAGTTTCTTTTTAGGAATCAATAATTCTGTGGTGCAGAACTAGCTACACTTGAGGTGGCATTCACCTACCTAGGTCTTTTGACCATATACTGCAGTAGCAAGTATACTGTAGAACCATGAAATGGCGGCATTGTTCTTACTGTGCATATGTCAATCCATCCATTATGGCTAAACAGCTAACACAGACTTGCTTAAAAGAAAGAAAGGAAAAAATCTCTTACAGGGATTCATCCATCTTTATCCACCAAGGCTTACCTCTCTACGCCTGGAGGCCCAACAACTTTGTTTGATCTTCCAAACCACAGCAGCCACCAGGAGCAAAGAGAGGAAACAACTGTGAGAGAGGAAAGTACTGAATTATTATCCCAGCCCCCAGGATCAGCACCAAGTCATCCATACCTCAAGCCAGGCAGTGAAAACAATCCCCAAATACCAACTCCAAACTTCCTTCCAGTGCTTCCTCACAACAGTGTCCTGGTTCTCAGGGAGCAAAGTATGAGAAGACTTGGGTAAGCTGAGCTTCCCAATCCCTGATTGGACATCCTACAAGGTACTCAGAGAGAGCCCTGACCTCCCACTGGGCCTCTATCAGAATGGCCCATAGTGGTTTATCCCAGATTTTAAAAAATTCTAGGATAATTATAACAAATAATAAGCATGTAATTTATTCAAATTAGCAAACATTTGCTGGTAAAATCTAAGAAAGGAAAAGTAGTTATTAAAATTACAATCAGTATTTCATAAGAGGTAAATAAGAAATAGAAGAAATTTATGTATAATTGTTAACATATATTCAATATTAATTTTAAAATACCTATATTTTTATAAAATAAAACACATTTAAGATGATCCAACTCAAGCCAACAACCTCCTTAAAAATATTAGGAGAAAATCACACCCAGTGGCTTTTTAACTGCATATGATTTCAAAGTTCTCTCATTTGTAAACCAGGTATTGAACAGTTTGAAAAGCTATAGTAATAGCAAAGGGAATGGATGACTTACAGTTAAAAGAAAGAATGAGAATAGCAAAGGGAATGGATGACTTACAATTAAAAGAAAGAATGAGCTTAACAAATAAGCCTCTTGGATAGCTGCCAGAAATAATTTTAAAACTGATATTTTCACTCATTCACTTGTAAAAAGGAGCTCACTATGGAGTATTTTTCCAGCGTGTTAGACACAGATATGAGGCTTTCTGCCCCATGCCATCAAGTTCTCTCTTGTTGAGCTCTGTGTTTGCAGGTTGGGGTCAGCTTCATAAATGGTACCTAACGTACCCAAGTACTGACACCAGGACAGCCCTCCTGGGCCTGCTGCAGAAAGGCACCCTAGGATACTAGGGCGACTAAACCGCCCTTTAACAAATAAAAACCTCAAGATTCCAATAGCCCATTGCCTCCCCAAGATGTACAAGGATGTGACTCCTCCAGTGGGTGCCCTGACAGAAGGGCCCTTGACTCCCCCCAAGGTCATCACTTGGTGGAGAGCCTTTAATTCCTATCTTGCTGGGCCTCTCTGCTGTCCTGACACTGTTAGCCCTTCCTCCTCCCTGACGGCTACATTGTTCTTTTAATCAATATTGTATTGCACCAGGTCCTGTTCTAGGCTCATGGAATACATCAATGAACTGAACAAAGATCACTGTTCCGGTGTGGTTTAGATTCCAGCAGGTGGAGACAAACAGTAGGCAAAATAAATAGGCAAATTACAGAGTGTGTCAGAAACAGTAAGTGCTATAGGAAAAAAAAAGGTGACAAGGGTAAGTGGTTCAGGAGTGCCAGTGGCACTCTCAGAGTGGGTGGCCCTTACTTCCTCAGAAGGTGACAGTGGAGCAAAGACTCAAGGAGGCATGGGAGGTGGCTCATGCATATCTGCAAAAGAACACTCAGACAGAGGTCAGTCAGTGCAAAGTCTGAGACAAGGACATGCCTGGGAGGCTTGAGGAGCCTCAGGAGGCCAGCATGGTTGAAATGGGGTAAACCAGAGATAAAGGCAGAGAGCTAAGGGGTGGGGGATAGATCACATGGGGTCCTGAAGGCATTATAAGGGTGTTAGATTTTATTAAATAGGAGAGAGCCAGTGCAGGTTTTTGAACAGAGAAGTGTCATGATTTAACTTATGTTGAGAAGACCATTAAGGATACAATGGCAGAACCAGGGAGACCAGTAGTCTAGGTGAGATGATGGTGGCTTAGACCAGGGTGGGTAGCAGGGGTGTGAAAAGCACTCTGGAATCTGGACAGGTCAGCAGTTCCATGTTAGACATGCAGAGCTCTGTGATATCTACTAGTCAGCCCAGGGAAGATGTCCAGGGCAGGTATTCTAATCTGGAGGTGGGGTGCCAGGTCTAGGCTAGACATGGCACTTGCTACTGCATATACATGATATTTGTTTTGGTTTTTTTTTTTGAGTTGGAGTCTCACTCCGTCACCCACACTGGAGTGCAGTGGCCACTCCCGGCCACTGCAGCCTCGAGCTGCTGGGCTCTGGCAATCCTTCCACCTCAGCCTTCCAAGTAGCTGGAACTACAGGCGTGCGCTACCACGTCCGGCTAATTTTTTTGATTTATTGTAGAAATGAGGTCTCGCCAAGTTGCCCAGGCAGGTCTCGAACCTGCGGGCTCAGGCAGTCCACTCACTTCAGCCTCCCAAAGCATGGGATTACAGGCTAAGCCCGGCTCTACATGATATTTGAAGCAATAAACCTGGATGAGGTCATCAAGGGAGATAGAGGAGAATGTCCTGAGGGTACCCCAACATTGAGGAGTTGGGAAGAACTAGTAAAGGAGCTAAGATAACTTCAGTCTTTCTTGGTTTTCTTGTATACTTCTGCTTTTAATTATTTATACTCTAAGAGATAAACACGAGGAGACGGCAAATCTACAGGAAGAACACGTAGTCAATGAGGACAGTTTCTCAAGAAAACTGCTGCTGCAGGTGAGTGCAGAGCTGGCCTGAGGCAAGGACTCTGGTGTCCCTCAGAGGCCTCTCCTGGGTCTACTCGTAATACAGAAGGCATGTGCCACCTTTCCCGAGGCCTGCGGGGAGGGGTCTTCTATCCTCACGGCAGACCTGGTAAAAATATCAACTACACAGCTCCATCCACCTACTCCAGCTACAAGAAGTAAAAAAACCAGTATACTAACACAGAGTGTTCGCCTCTCAGAGAGGATCTGTGCATGACTTCTCTTAAGGAAAATGCAATGAAGACATTCTAGACATTTCAGAAAAAGATGTCACTCGCTGATACCCCTCCCTTCTTTCTTTCCCTACCGCTAATTTGAGTACAGATGCTCAAATCAGTGGGTTGTGATTCAGTGTTCATCCAACTGTAGTTCCTCTTATCAGTTGTCTGCTACATTTTTCAATACAAGTATCATTTTAAAAGTGGCTCAGCCTGTAATCCCAGCGCTTTGGGAGGCTGAGGTGGATTGCCCAAGGCCGCAGGTTTGAGACCTGCCTGGGCAACTTGGCGAGACCTCATCTCTACAATAAATAAATATTAGCGGGGTGTGGTAGCATGCGCCTGTAGTTCCAGCTACTTGGAAGGCTGAGGCGGAAGGATCGCAGGAGCCCAGCAGGTCGAGGCTGCGGTGGCCGGGAGCAGCCACTGCACTCCAGTCTGGGTGACAGAGTGAGACTCCAACTCAAAAAAAAAAAAAATTATATCATGGAAAATTTTCAAATATACACACAAGTAGAGAGAACAATTTAGTGAATTCCTATGTCAGCCTACATTACTTAGCCTCAGCAATTATTAAGCCATTCCTCCCTGCAGATGTCCCAACTTTCTGGGCCCAACCAATGTAAACTTCATGTGTATTGATTTATGTTTTGCCTGTAACTTCTATCTCCCTAAAAATGTATAAAACCAAGCTGTCATTCAACCATTTTAGGCACATGTTCTTAGGACTTCCTGGGATTCTGCTACAGGCTCAGGTCACTCATATTTGGCTCAGAATAAACCTCTTTAAATATATTATAGAACTTACATTTTGCTGATGTCATTCAAAGATCATTTTTTTTTTTAACTGGAGTCTCACTCTTGTTGCCAAGCTGGAGTGCAGTGGCATGCTCATGGCCACTGCAGCCTTGACCTGTTAGGCTTATATGATGCTTCCACCTTAGCCTTCCAAGTAGCTAGAACTACCCACACATGCCACCACACCCAGCTACAAAGATCATTCTTAAAGAATAAGAATGTATTTGTAAGCCAAAATAAAATTTTAAGCCCCCTAACTGGCCGAATGGCCCAGACCCCCTGTGGGCCAAGGTAAACCTGAAAAACAAACTCCAAGCCATGAGGGTAAAGGAGGATAGACACTTCTTGTTATATGTTTGCCCTTGTAGAGTTTTAGGCACAACTGAACTGACTCACATTAACATTAAAACAGAGACAGTAAGACTCATAAAACGGACTCTGTGGCAGTAAGATACCATACTCCAACCTGACTCTGGCACAGCATCATATGATAGCAGACCCTAAAGGAAATAAAAATAATTTACCCCAAAATATGTTTCTTTGACATATTTTGAAGTGACACTGCAAAGTCATCTCTTGGTGGAAATCTGCATCTGTAGAGAACATCTTTTAAGATATTACCTGTTCTCTCTGAAGTCTCCTACTTAGAGGCTTCATCTACATATCAAGACCTTGGCTTCCAAGACCAGCTCTTCTTATCTTAACTCAAGCATTTCTTTTACTGATTTCAAATTCTTTAGCCAGAGCTTAACACTTTCTACCAATTGCCACTCAAAAAATCTTTGAATCTACCTATGACCTGTAAGCCACCTTCCCTCAGATGTCCTGCCTTTCTGGGCCTGGCCAATGTAAACCTCACAAGTATAGATTTATGCTTTGCCTGTAACTTCTTTCTCCCTAAAAATGTATAAAACCAAGCTGGGCTCGGTGGCTCAGCCTGTAATCCTGCACCTTTGGGAGGTTGAGGTGAGTGGATTGCTTGAGCCTGTGGGTTCAAGACCTGCCCGGGCAGCTTGGCGAGACCTCATCTCTACAATAAATCAAAAATCAGCCAGGCGTGGTAGCGCGCGCCTGTAGTTCCAGCTACTTGGAAGGCTGAGGCGGAAGGATGGCTGGAGCCCAGTAGGTTGAGGCTGCGGTGGCCAGGAACGGCCACTGCACTCTAGTCTGGGCAAAAGAGTGAGACTCCAACTAAAAAAACAACAACAACATATAAAACCAAGCTGTAATCCATCATTTTGGGCACAAGTTCTTAGGATCTCCTGGGACTGTGCCATGGGCCTAGGTCACTCACATTAGGCTCAGAATAAACCTCTTTAAATATTTTACAGAGTTTGGCTTTTTATCAACAT